CTCTCACATGCACACTGTCTCTGACACACACACACTCTCTCACATGCACACTCTCTCTCACATGCACACAGATACACAAACACAATCTCTCACATGCACACTCTGACACACACACACTCTCTCTCACTCTCTCTCTCTCTCTCACACAATCTCTCACATGCACACTCTGACACACACACACACACACACACACCCCAACACGAAGATAATGAAGAGATGATGTGGAGGTGCCGGTGCCGGTGTTGCACTGGGGTGGACAAAGTCAGACGTCGCACGGCACCAGGTTATAGTCCAACAGGCTTTTCCTGAAATCACAAGCTGTCGAAACGCTGCCCCTTCACCCGCTCCGAAAGCTTGTGATTTCAAATAAACCTGTTGGGACTATAACCTGGTGTCGTGTGACTTCTGACTTAATGAAGAGAGGTTGAGGCAGAGGTGGCAAGGGGTCTGCTCCAAGCCAATAAAGTAAACAGCTTGTGACGACTTGGGAATTTTTTTTAAAGTTGAAACAATAGAAGCAGCCTGAAGGAGCGGCGTCAAGCACCCACAGAACTGGGATTTGAGTTTTATAGCTTGCAGCATCTACTGGGGTTTGGAAGCTGCTATACATCTCTCCCTGCTCCAGCAAAACACTCGAGTTGTCTCACGTCAAAACTTACTCTTGAGGATCTCTCCTCCTGGACTAGAGAACTGCATGTGAGACAATCCATTTTACTGAATCTGCCTTTGCCAAGGGTGTGTTTATCGGATATTGAAGTTACTGTTTCATACTTAAATAATCTATTATTCTGTTAAGCTTTCATACTGAGTTGAGTTATTCCAATTCCTTCTTTCTTTTCTTTTTACTTTAACTAGTGTCCGAACAAAGTGTGTTTTCTTCAAGACTGATAGTTTGACCAATCAAATTGCATCTGGAATGGAACATCTTACACTTGCCTTTAAAATAAGAAGTTGCGGTTTAGACCATCTCCTTGATATATTTTCTCACACACACACACACATGCAAACACACACAGACAGACACACACACGCAAACAGACACTCACTCACCCCAACAGGCGCACACAAAACACACACACAGGCGCACACAAACACACACCCACCCACACACATTAACACACTAGCACACACATGCGTGCAAGTCTCTCTCCTTCCATCACCAAAGGGGTTAGTGAAGAGTGGACAGTGTTGACGTGACCCCGGAGTCACCCGTGGGATTTTGACTCAATGCTGTTCCACATCTTGAGATACAGTAAAAATGAATTGTTTTGCATGGCTAACGAGACAAATCATACCTTGCATCAGTACATCAGGGTAACCAAACAGAATGCACAACATAGCGCTACAGCCAAAGAGAAGGGGCAGAGAAAGATCAACTCGAATATACGACTCCCGAATATTTATAAGGTGGGCAGAGTGGTAAACTCTTCATCCATGAGTGGGGGGAGGATGAAAGGTTATTGGAGGGAGACAAGCAGCAATCTGGGGACAATGAGATCACGCCCAGTCTTACTCAGTGGCACACCAGGATCCAGGGTCCTCATTACACTTTAACGGTGAGGTCCTGGGGAGTGTCGCTGAACAGAGACACCTTGAGCGGGGAGCAGGTACACAGTTCCTTGAAAGTGGAGTGGCAGATAGACAGGGCGGTGAAGGTGGTGTTTGGTACGCTCACCTTTATTGGTCAGCGCATTCACCCCACCTGAAACAATAACTGATTTTCCCTTCACAGATGCTGCCAGACCTGCTGAGCTTTTCCAGCAACTTCTGTTTTTGTTCCTGATTCACGGCATTCGCAGTTCTTTCGGTTTTTACTCACTTTTCTTTCTTCACCTTAACCCCATCAACATGTCTTTCTATCTATTTCTCTGTATATCCAATGCCTTGTGGTAGAATGTTCCACGAAAGATATGGTGCTTTGGAACACTGATGAATTAAGGTTCAGTCACCTTACTTCGAATAGAGTAAGGCAAGAGGAAAGAGCTCAAAACATATCAAGGAAGTGATTGTCTATGATCTGGTTGAATAGCAGAGCAGGCTTGAAGGGCCGAGTGGCCTACTTCTGGCCCCTGTCTGAATATCCTTCACAGAATGGTGTCACAATTTAAATCAGGTGAGGGAAGTAAATCTATCACCACTGGAAAAGTTAACAGTATAATGGCTTGGAATAATGCAGCAAGTAAATCACCTCCCGACTCCTCAAAGACTTTCAATCATCTACGAGGGACAAAGTGTGATGTTATACCACCCTTTTGCCTGGATGAGTGCAGCCCCACCATCCAGAACAAAGCAGCTCCCTTGATTGGCACTGCATCCTCAAGCATCCACTCTCTCCACCACCAATGCTCAGTAGCAGCAGTGTGT